ACACTCAGCTGAAGCTTAGCCTAAACTCTGGTCACGCGTGGGTGCCCAGCAGGAGTCCATGTGAGTAGGTTTCATGCAGCCACCTACAGCTAAGTCCCAAATATGAAGAGTGGTACCTCACGCCCTGGCCTAAGGACTCCTTATGAGTCAGGTTAGTGACTGGCCCTATGCTTTGCCTCCTGCTGAGATGTCTCTTGGAGTTAGTGCTTCCATGTCCTCCCTGCCTCCTTTTCCTTGGCCCCAGCACTGACTGGAGCCCTGTGCCAAGAAAATTACAGCAACACTGAGCCAACTGGGGTCTGGCCCAAATGCTGATGTGTTAATTAAGCAGGGAACCAGGTTCCAAGAGAAAAGTAGTAAGCGCCTAGCTCGAAATCTTTGTGCTGGAACTGACCCAGTCTCCCACACACAAGGTGAGCTGCTAGACCACCAGGACAAAAATAATACTTGTCAAAAACTGTAATCTAAACTGGATGCAATTTTGGTCAGTTGTTAGATGTTTGGGAACCCTTCACACATCGACAAGCAGCTCAAAAATATCCTTAAATAAAATTATGAACATGATTGCGATACATCAGATTTTCTAACTGAAAAGTAAAGGAGTAAGGTCAGCAGTCCTTTCCAGGAAAGGCCATGAGTTACATTGAAAGAGCTGAAAGAAACACCTTAAAGTACTTTTCTCCTGTTTCCTATAAGCATTCCTATTCTGTTTAAGGTTCTGGATACGCCATTACATACAAGTGAGTCTGAGTTGTGTGATTTAGACTACATTAGATAATATACCAATTCATGCAATTTAATGTCATTTTTCAATGGACTTATGGGAACTAAGCAGCTGCAGCATACGATGGAGTCTGAGTATGGATAACTAAATAAAAGACATAGTTAGACAAACAGCTAGGCAAGAGTTCACCAGTGGAGTTCTGGAAGTTGAAAGGACTTGTCTCATTCAGCTTTCCTTAAGGGACCTGGAAGAGAATGGTGGGGGACAAAGCCTGCTGACCATGCATAGAGATGCAATGGAAAGAAGGACCATGAATAAAATTGCTCAAGGACCTCATGGCACTGAGCAACTCAACAGGCACAAAGCACAAAAATTTAAAAGAATTACAATACAGAGTTGAATGGACCTTCAAGATGCTCCTGTCAGTAAACTGGATGAGGAAATTTATTGTCACTTCTGTCCCTTTTCCACCTGCAGCAAATGACAAACAAGAACATGTTTTGCTGCTTCCTTGACACAAGGGCCTGAGAGAGGAACAGGAAGGCACTGCCATCTGTGTCGGGACAAACAAAGCAGAGAATGAACAGCTGGGACGACTGACAGATCAAAACCAAGGGCAGAACACAGAAGGGTTCGAACACCTCCATCGTCCGTGTTTCAAGAGGGCAGAAAACGCCCTAAACAGCCACATTTCTTTACCCACGTCCGGTACGTCCTGTTAGCTGCGGGGCGAACAGGGTTCCGCAAGGGCAGGTTGGAGCGCAGGCTGCAGCTCCTCCGCACCGTGCGCTCCCCCGGCGCCACCGCCGGGACACCGGGACACCGGGTGGGACAGCTGGGCGGAGCGGGGGCGGAGAGCGCGCACGGAGACGGCAGCGGGTCAACCAGCGACCCGCGGGTCTCCTCCGAAGGGATTGAAGTTCAGCTCGGGCCTCGAAAGAGCTCCGGGAAAACATGAATCTGTTCCTGGAGCTTCTCCTGTTCCTGGCCACGCTCCTCTACTCCTACCTGGAGGCTTTCGTGAAGCTGTTCGTGCCTGTGAGGAGAAAGTCTCTCAGCGGGGAGCTGGTGCTCATCACGGGCGCTGGCCATGGCGTCGGGAGAGCGACCGCCCTGGAGTTCGCCAAGCGCCAGAGCAGACTGGTTCTGTGGGACATCAATAAGGTAAAGGGCACGCTCACGTCCTCCCTCCGTGACCTCCGAGTCCACGGGGGATTTAGGGAGCACGGCGCACCCCCATCGCCCAGCCCCTTCCAGCCCGCTCCCATCGGCTCCCGCTTGGCTCCTCCGGCTGGGATGCTGAGCGCCAGGAGAGGCTTTGGCCCCACTTGCAGCGGAGGATGCGGGGTTCTGGTCCCACAGTCACTCGATGCTGCTCGGGAGGGAGCAGACAGCACCCGGCAGAGCACCTGCGAGAGGGAAAGAAGTGCTCGGGAAGCTGCTGGAGGAGCTGCTGCCTGGGCTGGCAGAGGAAGCCCGCTGAGAGCAGCAGGCTGCTTGCAGAGAGGAGCAGGTCTGCCTTCACTTGTTCTCTCTGTAGCCTCAGGTGTTTTGTGTGCATTGCTGCATTCTCTGCACTCCCATCAGCAGCATCACTGTGCCGGGCTGTGTGTGAGCCTGGCTGCCTGCTTGGCAGCTGCACGTGTAAAGGACCTTGGCAAGTGGAGGATGGGCATATACAAATATGCAGCATGGCATTCAGAAGGGATCAAGATAAAATGCTGAGTGTAGGTGCAACAGAGTGGGTGAAAAGCTGGGCTTTCTCCTTCTGACATGCTGGGTCAGCAAAGAAGCTAATTGTGTTATCCTGAGGCTGCAAAACAGACCCCAGCACTGGGCCCCACTGGCACGGCCTTCTGGCACCTGGGAATAAGACAACAGCAAAATAATTTCTGCCCTGCCTTAGTGAGCTGATAGAATAAGAGAGGGAAGATTCTGTTCTTTGTGTGTCAAATGCAATCCTGTAAGGAAAGTCTCTTTGCACTGTGCACAGTTGTCATGGATTGACCTTGACTGCATGCCAGGTGCCCACCAAGCTTCTCTATCATCCCCTCTTCTCAGCCAGACTGGGTAGAGGAAATAACATGGGAAATGATGACTTGTAGGATGAAATAAAGCAGTTTGCTAAAGCAAAGCTGAAAGACTGTGCACATAAAAGCAGAGAAAAAAAAAATATATTCTCTATTTCCCATCAGCAAGAGATGACTGCCCACATCCTGGGGAGTGCTTGCTCCGGAAGGCAAACATTGTAAATACCAGATGCCCCTCCTCTCCTTCCTCCTTTTCTTGGCTTTTATTTCTGATCCCTTTGGTCAGTTTTGCTTAGCTTTCCTCCTTGTGTCTCCTCCCACACTCTATTGATGGGGCAGGGAATGTTGGGAACACAGCAATGATGCTGCACCAGCACTGCTCAGCAGCAACCAAAAAACAGGTGTTATCAACCCCTTCCTAGAAAACAGTGCAAAGTACAGCCCTGTGAGGATACTATGGGGAAATGAATTCCATCTCAGCCAGACCAAATACAGTTGTGGCTCTTCTCACACCCAGCATGTGAATACAGAAATGCATAGAGCTCCCTCCACACCTCGGGATGTCAGCCAGGCCTGTGTTGTGTGAGCTCTGTTTACACTCACAGTGCTGCCTGCTGTGCTGTGATAGGCACTGCCTGCCCTCTTTCTGCTGTTACATGTGCCTTGCCAGTGTGCCTTACCAAGCCAAAATCACTCCTGTTGCCACATTCCTAAGGCTAAGAGAGTTGGGGTTGTTCAACCTGGAAAACAGATGGCTTTGGAGTGACTTAATTGCAACCTTACAGTATATGAAGGAGGCTTACAAAAATATGGAGAGAGAGTATATCCAAGAGCATGTAGTGACAGGACAGAGGGGAATGGCTTCAAACTGAAAGAGAGGATATATTGGATATTAGGATGGTGAAGTACTGAAACAGGTTGCCCAGAGAAGTTACAGATGTCTCATCCCTTGAAATGTTCAAGGCCTCTTGGAGCTTTGTCATTCTCTTGGACCTTTGGTGACTGGGAAAACCCACTCTATGATCAAGAGAAGGTCCTTCTGTTTCTGGCCCTTTTTAGGTGTTTCTTTTGCCTTAGGTGTTTGTTTCTGCTTCCACTGAAAAATGATTCCATGGAGGTGTGGCAATTTAGCTGAGATGATAAACTTTAATGGCAGGTCAGGCTGACATCGGTTGGCCTGTGTTGTGGACATTGCTGTGTGAACTTTTTCTAGAGCTTTCTGTGCCTCTGGGGTAATAGCCCTAGGAGAACTCAGGTCCTCTCCCCCTTTCAATAAATCAATAAGAGGAGCAAGGTCATTGTTGGTTGGACCCAGCCAGGGCCTTACCCAATTTAAAGACCCACACAAACTTGTGGACATCTGCAAGGGTCTTGATCCTTAGTTTGATTTCTAATTTTTGAGGAACAATGGTCCTCTTTCCAATCTCTAAGCCCAAATACTGCCAAGGTGGCATCTTTTGAATTTTCTTTTCCTGGAGCTTGAGCCCTGCAACAATCAACACATTGATCGTTAGGTCAGGTGCGTGGGTGAGTAAATCATCACTGGGGCACTCACAGGGGTATATCATCCATATAATGATACATGATGGTCTTTTCTGCGGCTGCATGCACTGTGGACAGTAAAGAAGAGACATATCACTGGCAGATGGATGGCGAGGCTTTCAGTCCTTGAGGAAGAACTTTGTAATGGTGCCTCTTCCTCGGGGCTCCCCTGTTGATAGTGGGAACCGAGAATGTGAAACGCAGTGTATTGTGAGGGTGTAGGGGAATTTGGAAAAAAACCAATCTTTTATATCAATGACAGCCAAATTCCAATTTTGGGAGAGCATCGCTGGGGATGGCATACCAGGTTGGAGAGAGCCTGCATCTTCAATGACATTACTAATTTGTCAGAGATTATGGAGGAGCTGTCATCTCTTTTTGTCAACCTTCTGGATGACAAACACTGGAGAGTTCCACAGAGACATGGTCTCCACAATGTGACCTTTTTTCAGCTGTTCTTCCACTAGCTCCTCGAGTGCCTTCAGTTTTTGTTTACTGAGCAGCCACCGTTCTACCCAGATGGTGCATCTGTCTTCCAATTCAGTTTTTGGGTAGGGCGCTTCTCAGTGACCGCTGCCCAAAAATCCTGTGGAGAGTCTGGAATGTCAATTGTGACTCCCCATTGGTACATTAGGTCTCTCCCCAACAAGGGCTCTGGATAATCTAACACAAACACGTAGATTTGCTAATTGTCTATTTGGACAACGCTTCTAGATTGTATTGCCAATTGCATGCCCCCTATACCTTGAACATGACCAGCCACATTTTGGAAGGATCAATGTGCTAGCCAGTCCTGTGCTGGGATTACTGTGCAGTCCATGCCTGTGTCTACGAGCATCTCAATGTGTTTTGACTCCCCACCCTCTCTGACATCACACCAGATTTTGGGTTTGTCCTTCCCAATAGCTTGGACCCGGGTGACTGTGGACCCTTGTTTTTTGGTACTTTCAGGTAGATTTAGCACCAGGACAGCCTGTGCTACAATTTGTCCTTTGGGAAGAAATGGGGGTGGGTGGGAACAGTGCAGCCAGAGAACAAATTGCTCAGGATCTGATGTTATAATTCCTGGAGCAATTTCGATCTCTTGTGGTGTGTGTTTGGTGTCCCCAGTGATGATATACTTACAGCAAATTTGGTGCCAAGTACCCTGCTGTTGTGGGTTCACAGAGACAAAATGCCAGTCAGTGTCTTTCAGGTGGAGTGGTTCTGTCAGCTGCAACCTGAAATTGCACATTGATAGAAGTTGCAGTTAGAATCGGTTTGCTTAAGTCACAGCAAATGTTATTTGGTGTCACGTATGGTGGTGAACCAGCAGAAGTGGTCTTTGAAGCATCTGCTTCACTTAGAGAAATTGGGATGTTACCGCATGCTTGGTCCTTTTCGCTTCCCCCATTCCCTTGGCTTGCTCTTTTTGAGCTCTTTTTGGCAGGCCAGCACTCCCCATTCAGTTTTTTTGTTGCTGTTGACTCCCTGGGAGCACTTGTAGTTCTCCATCCCTGCTATTTTTAAATTCATCATGCTTTTTCAGGGAACACTGGTTAACCCAGTGCCCAGGGTTCTTACAAAGCAGGCATGGCTTTTTGGGGTCAATCATTGCTGGTCTTCACTGCTGCCCAGTGTGCCACTGTGCTGATGGAATGGGCGCTGGGCTGGCAACGGTGACTCTCTGTGGTGGTCTTGGCAGCAGCCTTGGTCTGGTGTCCTGAGCCACACTCATCAGAGGCACTTTCCTGTTACAAACTAGAAGTATATTTTTTAGTGTAGGGGGGCGTTTCTAAAGGTAAGCTTAAAATTGCAGCTCAACACTGGTCATTCACATTTGCAAATGCCATTTCCTCTAAAACATCTTCCCTTGCATTCTCTTTGTTAACTTGGATTTCAATAGCTCAGTTAACCTTTCCACAAATTTCAAAAAAGACTCTGATGGTATCTGTTTGATCTTACTATATGGCTTGAGAGGGCTATCAGGTTGAGGGGTAAAGAAGGCTTTTTCACCTGCCTCTTTGACTCTCTCAAGGACTACCATAGGGATTACTGCAGCTTCGATTGGGGCCAGAGACCATTGGCCCTCACCGGAGAGATGCTCAATGGTAATTGGCATGCCATTGGCATCCTTTGCTGTGTTTGGATCAGCATGCAAGTCTGGGAGAGCCTCTTTCAGAGGTTGTTTCCATGCCAATTCCCATAGTTTGAATTCTGTAGAGGTTATGAGGCACGAAAAAAGCCGTTTTAAATCATGTGTGACTACTACAGTCCTGCCCAGTTCGGCATGTAAAAGGCCACGGAAGTATGGGCTCTGTGGTCCATACTGTTTGTGTGTTTTGCAGACCTCTTTCATTATTCGTGGTGCAAAAGCTTTCTGATTTGTTGTTGTGGCTGCTCCCCCTTACCCTGCATGCTGATACGTAACAGGGGCAAGTGAGAAATTGGGACCTGTATTGGGTCTGCGTTCCCTGCTCCTTATCCCTTGGATGGGAAGCATTGGGATCACTGGTGTGGCTATAGGGACAAGCAGTGGGTGTGCCCCCACGGGGGAACCCGGGGAGGGGACGGGGGCACCGTGGGAACAGGGTGCGGGGACAGGGGGCTGGCAGGGGAGGGGACACCGTGGGAACAGGGTGCGGGGACAGGGGGCTGGCAGGGGAGGGGACACCGTGGGAACAGGGTGCGGGACAGGGGGCTGGCAG